AGGATTTGTTGGTAAGCACTACTATAAAAACCAATCTGGGTCCCCAGTAAGTACTATTCACATCCAGAGGAAATATGTCTCAATTGTCCAACCTCTAGGAATTGGAAAAACAAAAGTAATCAATCACTCCTCCAAGGTCCTTACTTCCTTGACATTCCTCCTCATAAATGGTACTAACCTATCATTTTGCCTTCTACTTCAGACCCTGACCTTGGCCTACCAATTCCTTAATGTCACCCACCTGGTCTCTTCAAAGATTTCTAGCTATATGTATGTACCCTCTGGAACTAACTTACAATAGCCACTTATAGCTTCTCAAGTGACCCTGCCAGGTAACCTCACCTCATCTTTCATCAGCTGCCCCAACTCTGGTGTTGCCACGACCCCATACTTTTTCTCTATCACATTTTTTGGCATGGAAAACCGTTTTAAGACATCAGGGACATGTTCCTTAGGAATGCTAAGGTCCCTAAACTGCAACAGAGCCCTAACCCTTAATACCTCATCTCTGCCACAGTGCCCTACAGACCAGAACACATCAATACTCTGTGGCACTCAGGTATATCATCATCTACCTTTCTGCTGGTCAGGAATTTACATATTAGTGTTCCTTTCTGTGAATTAGGAGTAATCCACAGAAAAAGTTTTACCAATCGCAGTTGTAGACACAATACTTGCCCAATATAACAAGAGGGCACTTCAAACTCATGCCATTTCTGGTTGCTGTGAGAATACTATAGGTGTTAGTACTGGAATGGCAGAGCTGACTACTTCCTAACCTTATACAATCAGTTCTCTTCCCAGCTTGACAACAATCTTCAAGAAGTCACCCAAACCATGCTCTCCCTGCAAAGACAGATTGATTCTCTAGCAGGAGTGGTGCCTCAGAACCGATGGGGACTAAACATTCATATAGTGAAAGAAGGTGATCTTTGCCTTTTCCTCCAAGAATGATGCTTCTCCATCCACTAGTCCAGAGTAGTGAGAAACAAAGTACAGTAACTGCAATCAGACAACAAAAAAATGCAGGGAGAGGAACAGCGTAAGGCCCCTAATTCCTGAATTTTCAAAAACCTTGTATGGAAGTAAATACTGCCTTTCCTAACCCCACTTCTTCCCATTTGACTGCTTCTACTATTTGCTCCATGCCTCATTAACTTCATCTCCACATTCCTCCAATGACAAACTCAAAAAAATTTTTTAATTAATTTTTATTGGATATTTCATTTACATTTCAGATGTTATTCCCCATTCCCCCTACCCTCGAAACACTCATCCCTTCTCCCCTCCTCCTGCTTCTATGAGGATGTGTTCCCACCCACATACTCCCACCTCCCTGCCCTTGAATTCCCCCACACTGGGGCATCCAGCCTTCACAGGACCAAGAGTTTCCTCTCTCATCTATGCCCAACAAGGCCATCCTCCCCTACATATACAGCTGGAGCCATGAGTCCCTCACTATGTGCTCCCAGGCTGATGGTTTAGACCCTGGGAGCTCTGGTTGGTTGGTATTGTTGCTCTCCCCATGGGGTTGCAAACGCCTTCAGCTCCTTCAGTCTTCTCTCTAACTTCTCCATTGAGAACAACATGATCAGCTCAATGGTTACTGTGAGTGACCACCTCTATATATGTCAGGCTCTGAGGAGACAAGTCCTTACAAGAGTTGCCTTGGTCGGCTGCCCACTCTCCCCCTACCTATTCAATATAGTACTGGAAGTCCTAGCCAGAGGAATTACACAACAAAAAGAAATCAAAGGGATACAAATAGGAAAGGAAGAAGTCAAAATCTCACTATTTGCAGATGATATGATAGTATACTTAAGTGACCCCCAAACTTCCACCAGAGAACTCCAAAACCTGATAAACAACTTCAGCAAAGTGGCTGGTTATAAAATCAACTCAAACAAATCAGTAGCCTTCCTCTACATGAAAGATAAACAGACTGAAAAAGATATTAGGGAAATGACACCCTTCACAATAGTTGCGAATAATATGAAATACCTTGGTGTGAATCTAACCAAGCAAGTGAAAGACCTGTACGACAAGAACTTCAAGTCCCTGAAGAAAGAAATCAAAGAAGATCTCAGAAGATGGAAAGATCTCCCATGCTCATGGATTGGCAGGATTAATATAATAAAAATGGCCATCTTGCCAAAAGCAATCTACAGATTCAATGCAATCCCCATTAAAATCCCAACTCAATTCTTCACAGAGTTAGAAAAGGAAATTCTCAAATTCATATGGAATAACAAAAAACCCAGGATAGCGAAAACTATTCTCAACAATAAAAGAACTTCTGGAGGAATCACCATCCCTGACCTCAGGCTGTACTACAGAGCAATAGTGATAAAAACTACCTGGCATTGGTACAGAGACAGGCAGGAAGATCAATGGAATAGAATTGAAGATCCAGAAATGAACCCACACTCCTATGGTCACTTGATCTTTGACAAAGGAGCTAAAACTGTCCAGTGGAAAAAGGACAGCATTTTCAACAAATGGTGCTGGTTCAACTGGAGGACAACATGTAGAAGAATGAAAATTGATCCATTCTTATCTCCTTGTACAAAGCTCAAGTCTAAGTGGATAAAGGACCTCCACATAAAACCAGATACACTGAAACTAATAGAAGAGAAGGTGGGGAAGAGCCTCGAATACTTGGGCACAGGGGAAAAGTTCCTGAACAGAACACCAATGGCATATGCTCTAAGATCAAGAATTGACAAATGGGACTTCATAAAATTGCAAAGTTTCTGTAAGGCAAAGGACACTGTCAATAGGACAAAACGACAACCAACAAATTGGGAAAAGATCTTTACCAATCCTACATCTGATAGAGGGCTAATATCCAAGATATACAAAGAACTCAAGAAATTAGACTCCAGACAACCAAATTACCCTATTAAAAAATGGAGTATAGAGCTTAACAAAGAATTTTCAACAGAAGAAACTCGAATGGCCGAGAAGCACCTAAAGAAATGTTCAGTGTCCTTAGTCATCAGGGAAATGCAAATCAAAACAACCCTGAGATTCCATCTCACACCAGTCAGAATGGCTAAGATTAAAAACTCAGGTGATAGTAGATGCTGGCGAGGGTGTGGAGAAAGAGGAACACTCCTCCATTGTTGGTGGGACTGCAAGATGGTGCAACCACTTTGGAAATCAGTCTGGCGGTTCCTCAGAAAATTGGACATAGCATTACCTGAGGATCCAGCTATACCACTCCTAGGCATATACCCAGAAGATGCTCGAACATATAACAAGGACATATGCTCAACTATGTTCATAGCAGCCTTATTTATAATAGCCAGGAGCTGGAAAGAACCCAGATGTCCTTAAACTGAGGAATGGATTCAAAAAATGTGGTGTATTTACACAATGGAGTATTACTCAGCTATTAAAAACAATGAATTCGAGAGTTTCCTAAGTAAATGGATGGAACTAGAAATTATCATCCTGAGTGAAGTAAGCCAATCACAAAAGAACACACATGGTATTCACTCACTGATTATCGGATATTAGCCCAGAACCTTGAAATGCCCAAGATGCAACTCACAGGCCACATGAAGCTCATAAAAAAGGAAGACCAAGTGGGGGTGATTCAGTTTTTCTTAGAAGGAGCAACAAAATACTCAAGGGAGCAAATATGGAGACAAAGTGAGGGACAGAAACTGAAGGAAGGGCCATTTGAAGACCTTTCCACCTGGGTATCCATCCCATGTGCAGTCACCAAAGGTAGATGCTGATGTGGAAGTCAGGAAGTCCATGCTGATAAGGGCCTGATATGGATGTCTCCTCAGAGGCCTTCAAGAGTCTGACATATTCAGAGCCAGATGCTCACAACTAGCCATTGAACTGATCATGAGGTTCTCAATGGAGGAGTTAGAGTAAGGACTGAAGGAGCTGAAAGGGTTTGTGGCCTCATGAGGAGAGCAACAATACCAACCAACCACAGCTCCCAAGGTCCTAACCACCAGCCTGGGAGCACTTATAGAGGGATCCAGGGCTTCAGCTGAATATGTAAGAGTGGAGGGCCCTGCCGGGCACAGGTGGAAGATGAGATCCTTGACCTCATGAAGGCTGGACGCCCCAGGGGGTGGAAATTTTGAGGGTGGGGAAGTGGGAGTGGGGGGGTAGGTGGGGGTTACATCCATGGAGAAGAAGGAGGAGGGGTAAGGGGAGGGGGGTTCCCGGTTGGTTGGGGGATTGGGTAAGGGGACAACATATGAAATGTAAATAAAATATCCAATAAAAAAAAAATTAAAAAAAAAAAAGAGTTGCCTTGGTCATAGTGTCTGTTCACAGCAGTAAAATCCTAAGACACTCTTCTTCCCCCTTCTGTTCTTTCCTCCTCCTCCTCCTCTTCCTCCTCCTCCTCCTCCTCCTCCTCTTCTTCCTCCTCCTCCTCCTCTTCCTCCTCCTCCTCCTCTTCTTCCCTCGTCACAGCCCCCCTTCCCCCAAGCCACCTATGCCAATAAAACCTCCCACATGAGACCTGCGGCTCATGTGATTTGTCCAGGATTGTGTTGCATAGTCTAACAGGTATAGGTACATGTCTATCCCTGTAATGGTAAACCAGATGAATTGGCCTACCTACCACACATATGTACACAACAGTTTGACATGTTTCTGTTTTGTGTGTGGATAACAATGTGGACAGTAAAACAGATATATTTTTATGTAAGGTTTTTCTGTTCTTTTAAATAAACTTTAGAAACTTAAAAAAAGAATAAAAACTACACATTCAAAACAGAGATTATACAGATTTGATCTTATACTCTCAATACATATTGATTGCAAGCACTGTTTTTCTAAATGATTGGTTTTTTCTTTTTTATTTTATTTTATTTTATTTTATTTTATTTTTGGTTTTTCGAGACAGGGTTTCTCTGTGTAGCCCTGGCTATCCTGGAACTCACTCTGTAGACCAGGCTGGCTTCGAACTCAGAAATCCACCTGCCTCTGCCTCCCAAGTGCTGGGATTAAAGGCGTGCGCCACCACCGCCCAGCCAGTTTTTTTCTTTTTTAATTAGGTTTTCTTTTTCCTTTTCCTCATACTCTTTGGTTTCCTTTTTTTCTTCCCAAATACAGGTCTAGCAGTCACTAGAACAGTCTTGGCTTTGTCCTCACCATCCTCACTGGAGCTACTAGTGGACAAACAGCTTTCCCTCCCCTGAGGAGGACCTCTAACTAAGTCAGGCAAATCTGAGCAGCTGACTTTTGATGACTCAGCTGCTCTTCTCTGTTGTGCACACATCACAGACGAACTTTCTGCTTCCTCACATGAAGACTCCTGGGGTGATTCTGAGAGGTAAGGGTCCCCTAGAAACCCACCATTTCCTGAAGGCCTCCTTCTTTGGGGGACTGAAGTCTCTCTTGTATATGGTAGGCTTCTTTTCTGGGTTTTTCCTTTTGCCTCATCCAGGTTCTCAGTTGCTTTCTTAAGCTCATGAACTTCCTCTTCCTTTCTTTTCCTTAGCATACATGTCACTGCTCTGCTCAGTCTATGGCTCTTTATGTGTTTGGCATCTTGTTTTTCCTGCTGAGCTAATCTAAAAAAGGAATCAATTCGTAGCTGGGTCTAAAATAAAATAAAGCAATAAATCAAGTAAGTGAGTAGTTCCTACAATAAATCAACAAGTTGAACTGTGGATTATTATTTCCAAGAATTTGGAATTATGGCCTCCAGAAGGAAATTCTAGCTCTGTTTTTTTGTTGTTGTTGTTTGTTTTCCATAACAATTGTATTCTCTTTTTTGGCAGCAACAGAATTTCACAGAATCTGTGCCTAAGTCATTCAATACCTTTCTTTTAAAATCATTATCATCATACAGTACCTTCAAGGGACAAGTTTGCTGATGCATTAGGAACCATTAATTAGTCACATGAGAAACAAAGGTCAGTAAATCCACTGCTGGGAGAAACTCTTAAACCTAGTGTGAAGTATGGCGTTATTCATAACTACTTGAAAACTAAACACCCAACAACATAGAAACAGCCAATGTGAACTTTCATGGACTGTAACCTGGTCCTCTGAAACTATAAAAAGGCATGCAACTCACAGAAGATGGTATATGCTCATGAGCCAAGGGGAAGAGTAGATCCACTCTATCAAGAGGATTTATGCACAGGAACAAATTAGCATGGAAAAAAAGGAAAATAAACACAAAGGAAACACACCTTGAAAGGAGGTGACAATTTTAATCTACTATTGTTACTTTCTAGACTATCTTTGCTTTTTAGAGAGAGAAAAAAAATTGTCTTGAAAAGGAAATGTATCTGAAATTAAAGAATTTATCTGAAATTAGGAAATAACTTAGTCACTAGAAAATATTTTCATTTTTAGTAGGCTTCTATTGCTGGTAGGTAAATGTCATCAGACAGACACAGGAAACCCCTGGATTTTTTTTTTTTTTTTTTTTTTTTGGTTTTTCAAGACATGGTTTCTCTGTATAGCCCAGGCTACCCTAGAAGTCACTCTGTAGACCAGGCTGGCCTCGAACTCAGAAATCCGCCTGTCTCTGCCTCCCAAGTGCTGGGATTAAAGGCGTGTACCACCACTGCCTGGTTTGAAAATATTTTTTAAATCACTGTCCATTTCGATTTTTTCCCTAAATTACACAAATTTAATGGAAACTGATTTCATTGTCTTAAAAACTATACTCTCATTTCTATTTGCATATATGTTTCATCAATGACTTCTGAGATGGGGGAAGGTTTATCTGATACGAGCAGGACACATGGATAAGACAAGCACACAAACCCATTTGGAAACACTGAAGGTCATATAAAAGGGCATTTTAATAACCAAAAACCTCTCTTGTAGAAATGTTAGTATACAGACCAGATCCTAAGTTGTAAATTAAAATGTTAGTGTTTGAAGAAATTGTTTTGTAGTGAATATTTCCTGGGCTTTTAAAAATTGAAGATTAGGGTCTGGAGAGATGGCTCAGTGGTTAAGAGCACTGACTGCTCTTCCAGGGGTTCTGAGTTCAATTCCCAGCAACCACATGGTGGTTCACCACCATCTATAATGGGATCTGATACCCTCTTCTGGTGTGGCCACAGACAGCAACAGTGTAATCACATACATAAAATAAATAAATCTTTAAAAAAAAAAAAACCTGAAGATTAGCTCCAGAGGAGTAATATATTTCATCTTAAACATCTTACTATGAAGTCATTTATTAGACTAGAATTTTTTTCAAAGTCAATAAAACAAGAACACTGCAGCACAAACAAATTAACAACTAGACTTAGGACCCAATCCTTTCTTCTGTTTCACTCTATTTTTAAGGTGTCATCATTTCAAGCCTTCAGCTACCTGCCACGAAATAAGGCATTAACAGCTACTAACTGCAGTCATCACTCTGGACATAAAGAAAATCCACAATTACCTGCTGGACAGTCAGGTTCTTTAGTACTGGATACAGGGATTCATCTGTCTTCATCCTGTTCCAGCCAAAATACCTCTGACAAAATGTACTGGCAGTTAAGATTTACAGAAGTTTTTAAAAGAGACTTAACAGGTAATATTAATAATAATGATAATGATGATAATAATAATATTAAAAAGCCAATCATTGTTGCCATTCCCTGTATCTCCCAGAATAATTATTTTTATAAAGATTAAAGTGGCCAGATAAAAGGCTGAAAAAACAAGCTACTCCAACAAGATCATTTTGCAATAAGTTCTGATCAATCTCCAAAGGCAGAAGACACTCACAAACTCATAGCTGCACAGTGAAGACTCCTCAATACAAAGCATGGCTAACCTAAAATAAAAGCAAGGGGCAGATATCCTGCATACTTCTTTAGGAAAGGAAGTTGTACTTGGGTTGAATCTATTGTAGACATTGAAACAGCCAACTAAATTATTATGTAAATACACAGAATAGAAGGCCAGCAATCTTCCATATTTTTTCAGGATAATTAATCTTAAATATGTGGTCATGTCATGTATACTGTAGCTGCTTCTTTCAAATTAAGATCTATATTGAAGGATACTTGCTGCATATGCATGAAACCCTGAGTTCATTCCCAAGTACTGGGGAAAAAAAAATGGGTTCTTTTTTCCAAAGTTTTAATCTCAACAGGTCTGCAGCTGGGATGGTTTATAAAGGCTTGGCCTAGGAGTGTCACTACTAGGAGTTGTGGCCTTGTTGAAGTAGGTGTGTTACTGGGTGTTGGCTTTAAGGCCCTGGTCCTAGCTGCCTGGAAGCCATTCTTCTCCTAGCAATCTTCAGATGAAGATGTAGAACTCTTAGCTGTTCCTGTACCATGCCTGCCTAGATGCTGCTATGTTCCTGACTTGATGACTATGGACTGAACCTCTGAACCTGTAAGCCAGTCCCAATTAAATATTGTCCTTATAAGAGTTTCCTAGGTCATGATGTCTGTTTACAGCAGTAAAACCTTAAGATTGCGGCTTAATATCCCCGTAAGTATTAAGAAGGAAAGGATATTCTCTAATCTTGTCAACATCAGGCTTGCCCCACAAGAACGATCCCCTGGAGTCATCCACCACAGGCCTGAGGTAAGCGTCTGCAACTGCGGGGTTGGGAAAACCAGGTGTCAGCTGCAACTTCCGTAATTTTTTTTTCACTTTGGTGTCATAGGGATTTTCTGCGGCCTTCCTGTTATTTTGAGCTTCGTGCCACCACTCTCTGTAAGATAATAGGAGCAATTACTTACGAAACAGGAAGATGTTACAGTTGCCACACTGGAGGGAAAGAGCTAAATACAAAGTTCAGAATGTAACTTCAAGTCATAATTCAAATATATGTGGTATAGAATACTAAGCTGCAAGGTAAAGATCTTACGTATTATCATTACTCTCAACTCTCAAAAAGTAGAAATAAACTCACTCAAAAGTACTTTGCTCAACATTTCACAAATGAGACTAGAATCTCAGATGACAAACCCCCACAGCTCCTGCTCAAACCACAGTAGCACAAAGCCACAACTTCTCCAGGCCCCTAGTCAGTGAAATGGAAGGTACAATGGATCCAAAACTCTCAAGAACATACTGGTTGTTTTAGTGTAGATATCATTCAATACCAAGTACGATATGATGGATGGGGCATATGCGGACAAAGAGAGAAACAAAATAGATCTTCTAAATTATAAACAGTGGCAAGTACTATTGCTCTCATGTACTGGGCAATGTTCTAAGCAAAATTAGACTGCTAATTTTGATTTTTCTATATTAAATCCATTTTAAAATATTTTCCATCTTATTATGGCACATCTTTTTTTCTTTAATGCTCCTCTGATGAAGATATCATTAGTCCATCTCTGTGATTTTGGATAATGATCAAGAAGCTATAGCTGTGGAGCATAAAACATGCTTGTCCACTTCCTGTTTTTGGAAAAAGCTGCCCTTAGAAGCAGTCACCACTCCTTGAGAAACCTGTGCTCACTGCAGGTTCTCAACTGAGACTATCCAAGGTCTACCAGCATTCTGTCTATCTACTGACAGTGCCTGGCAGGTGAAACTTTCAGCAGGTCCTCAAGCTTTGAGCTGTTCCAAGACAGAGAATAGGAATAAAAAAAGACTCCCAAACAAGTTTCAGAGTCAGGAGCAAAAACACCAAGTGCTGCTGCTGGAGGCTATGGAGGTTTAAGGTAACTGCAATGTGTCAACAGGAAACTGAGAGATAATACCATGGAAATTCAAATATGCTCCTTACCTACCCAACTTTCAGTGGTTCCTGAAGAACACCTACCCTCCCTTCAGCTCTACTTCTTCACATATTAGTACCAGCAACTGGGTTGCAGCCTACAGGCCACTTCATTGAGCAACTTCAGAGCGCCATCTACCATTCAAAGGCTTAACAGTGATCTTCAATACCAGACTCAAGAGGAAAATAATGATTTCTTTTCTTTTTAAGTTTTGCTTGTTTTGTTTTGAGTATATGTGTGACTGTCACATATGTGCAGGTGCCCTCATAGGCCACTTGATGTAGGTGCTAGGGACTGCACTTGAATCCTCTAGGAGAGCAACAAATGCAAATCACTGAGCCATCTCTACAGTCCCTAGGAAAATGTTTTCTTAACCAGTTTTACAACATAATATTGACAAAACACATGAGTATCTGCCCTAAATACATCCCATAAAGAAAGAGAGTCAGGAATTGCAAAGGAAGATAGAAAACAATGGGGCTGAATCTCTCAGTCAGACTGAGAAGACAGTAAGAAGTAGTCACTATGATGCGACTGAAGGGCACATGCCTGGAAGGGGAGCTGCTGTCACTCCCCCACAGCTATCTTGAGCTTATTGGCAAACAGTGGCCCAGGATGTTTAGAGCTCTTTTTCTTCTTAAACAAATCTAAACATGTTGTGTGAAAATCTCCTTCAAATTTAAATGCTACTGGGATTTAAAAAACAAAAAAACAAAACAAAAAAACCAAAACAAACAAACAAACAAACACAATATGGTATGAAGGGCTCTGCTCTATTCTTACCCCTCTTTCTAAACCTTAGCACTGCCTTCATCCTACAACCGGTTGGACAGAAACTCAGCCTGCCTTCAAGAAGCGCTAACACCCCTGAACACAAGGGCATCTTTGTAAAAGAAACACTAATACAGCTTAAATCACACAATGACCCACACAAACTGGGAGACCTCAACAACCACTCATGATCATCTTACCCATGGATAGGTCATCCAGACAAAAACTAAACAGAGAAATGTTGGAGCTGATGCACATTATAAGCCAAATGGAACTAACAAATATTTATTGGGTAAATATCACTTTACCCAAACACAAAACAGTACATCTTTTGCTCTGCACATCACAGAACTGTCTTCAAACTGATCCTGTACTAGAACACAAAGCTAGTCTCAGTAGATGCAAGAAAAATAACCCTCTGCATCTTATCAGATCATCATGAATAAAAGTTGGACTTCAACAACAACAGAAACAACAAAAAGCCTACAAACCTATGGAAACTGAACAACTCTCTACTCAGTGACCACTGGGTCAAAGAAGAAATAATGAAGAAATTAAAGACATTCTAGAATTTAATGAAAATAAATATACAAAATACCCAAATTTATGGAACAAAATTAAGGCAATTCTAAGCGGTAAGTTCAGAGGACTAAGAGCCTACATAAGAAAAGATTGTACCTATTCAAACTAACAAAAAGATAGAGAGGAAAGAACTAAATGAGCAAAATTAGAAATGAAAAGTGGGACATAACAACAGACACCAAGGAAATCCAGAGAATCATAAGGATACATGGATATATGAGGTCATATGAGGGACCTTATAAAACTGAGAAGCTTCTGTATGACAAAGGAGACTGTCATTCAGACAAAGTAGCAGCCTGCAGAATGGTAGAAGATGTTTTAACCAACTCCACATCTGATAGAGGGCTAATACTCAAAATATACAAAGAACTCAAGAAACTAGATATCATGAAAACAATTCAATTTTAAAATGAGGTACAGATTTAATCTGAGAATTATCAATAGGGGAATCTCAAAGGTCTAAGCAACAAAAAAATTTCAACATCTTTAGCCCTCAGGGAAATGCAAATAAAAACTACTTTGAGATTTTATCTTATGCTCATCAGAATGGCTAAGATCAATAACACAAGTGGCAGCTTATATTGTCAAGAATGTGGAATAAGGGAACACCAATCCATTGCTGGTGGTACTGCAAACTGTAGAGACAGAATTGTAATTAATGCATCAGCTCCTCAGAAAGATGGAAATTGATCTACCTCAAGGTCATTTCATTCCACCACAAGGACCCTTACCCAACCATGTTCTCTATTGTTCTAGTCATAGTAGCCAGAAATTGAAAACAATCTATATGTCCCTCAACAGAAGAATGAATAAGAAAAATGAAGTACATTTACACAATACTATATTATTTACATCACCATTTTAAAAAAAGTGAAATCATGAAATTTGCAGGAAAATAAATGAACCCAGAAAAAAGTCATCCTGTGTGAGGTAACCCAGACCCAGAAGAACAAATATGGTTACGTATTTATTGACACATGGATATTAGCTGTTAAGTCAATGATAAACAAGCTATAATTCATAGAACAGCAGAGATTTAGATTTAGGTTTAGATTTAGAGTAACTGACTAGGAGAAACTAATACATCTCCCTATGAAAGGAAAATAGAATAGATAGTTATGGATGGTGGCTGGTAGTGCTGGAACAGGAGGATCAATCACATGGCAAGAGAGAAGAGAGGGGACAAATGGAGGAAATATAGAGACGGCTAAAATTAGAAAGCATTTGAAGGGTAATATGGAATCCTAATACCGTAGAAACTTTCTAAAATATATACGTATCTGAAGACAATCTAAATGAAATTGCCAGATAATGGGAGTCAAAGCCACAAATAGATGTCTCTCATCACTAAGTGAAGCTTCCAGTTCCAGGATTGGCTTATATCTAGTTGAGCTGTTTGTTACCATAGTAATTCCCAAATAACCCAGCTGTTGTCATTGCTGCTCTGAAAAACTGACAGGGAACTATTGCTGAAGATAACAACTACACAATTTATTGTACACGGAGAACTCAAACATGTGCCTACATAGCCTCCATCCTGTGCTAGCATCTTTTGTACAGGAAGAGTACTCTGCATGATACCAAAAAAGAAATATAAAAAACACCAACCCAGCAACAAACCCTTTGAACTACAATGGTGTCCTGCCTGCAGGATATACTTGGACAATAGTGGTAGTACAAAACTTGTAGAAATAACCAAACAATATCTGGTTTGACTTAAGGCCTACTCCAGGAGATGGAACCTGCACCTAACACTGCTTGGGTTACCTAAGACTAGATAGCCCAAGGTAAGAACCAAATATTACTAGTCTTAAGAGAAAAAAAAAGAGCAATTAAATGAATCCTTATGACATTCTGTTATATTTATACATCAATGCCTTGCTTAGCTATCCTCAGTGAAACTTCCTCCTGAAGCAGATAGGAACAAACACAAAGTCCCCCAACCAGAAATCATATAGAAAGTGAAAGACCTTGAAACACTCAGCCCTAATTAGGACGTGTCCATCAAGTCCCTCCCCTCAGGGCTCAGGGAACCCTAGGGAAAAGCAGCTGGGGAGACTGTTCTTTTTCTGTTATGGCTTCCAGTTTAGTGCTTTTATGGAACTCCTGAGTGTGTAAATAGTATACTTCTGTGTCTTGTGCCTTCTCTTGGGCTCTTTTCTTTTTGTTTGTTTTGTGTAATTCTGATGTATTAGTTTTGTTTTCATTTATTTTGTCTTATTATTATCCCATAGAAGCCTATTTGCTTTCTAATGAGAGACAGAAAGGGGGCTGATCTGGATGGGAAGAGCTGGGAACAAAGGGAAGAGAAAGAATAATCAGGATAAATTATGTAAGGGAAAAAAATCTATTTACAAAAAAGAAAAAATGATGTAAAAAAATTAAACGCCAGCAAGAGTGCATATATGCATGCATGTGCATTTGGGGTTTTTTTCTTTTTTCTTTTGGCTTTTCAAGACAGGGTTTTCTCTGTGTAGCCCTGGCTGTCCTGGAACTCACTTTGTAGACCAGGCTGGCCTCGAACTCAGAAATCCACCTGCCTCTGCCTCCCAAGTGCTGGGATTGAAGGTGTGCGCTACCACCTCCCAGAACATGTGCATTTCTAATAGGTGTAATGTGCATGTAATTGCAGCTTCTTCCAAATGATTGTAACTGCATAAACCAAAATTTAAGTATAATCATTTTAATGCATATTTTGCAATGTTTCTTTTCTTTTCATTTGTAAAAGAATGTTATTTGTAGCTATATAGTTCTTTACAGACCATGCTTGATATAATAATGTATCCCAAATATGTAAATTTCTCTGGGTCAGCACATGGGTCATGAACAGTGACTACTTTACAATCTAAGTTCCTGGCCCTGGACCTCAAAGCACATTTATGGTTGACTTCTTTTATAACACTGAACAAGTGGTAAAAAATTTCACTAGCAACATTGAACAATTTCATTTGCTTCTCCACTCCATTTAATCCCACAAGGACCCATAACGGTGTAGAATAGAACTACTCATCTGTTCCATTGCTAAGGCCTGCACATCTGACTCATACTGTCTACTCTACAACCATCTAAATGAACTCAGAGCAGCTCACACACTAATGAACACTGAAGACTATCTTTGTGTCCCTGGACTAGGATAAAGCAGGCATGATTAAAACAAGACTAAAATAGACCAAAAACAGATTCACCAAGGCCCTAGAAACCACAGTTACGGTCTCCAACTACTCCTTCAATGTACAATGACTTGAGACAGCTTGTGATTTTAGAAACAGATTCCCAGAAGTGATGGCACACACCTACAGTAGCAGCTACATAGGAAGCTGAGGCTGGAGGATTGCAAGTTTGAGCTCAGCCTAGGCAACAACACAGTAAGAGCTCTGTTAAAAAAAAAAAAAAAGACCCATGTATTAGTCGAGTATTTATAGAAATATCTGAATTAAAGGCATGAGGAAAAGCCTTACGAGAATTTTAAAAGTGGGTCCAGGCCTTGTCCAGGGAATTCATTGAGAATCTCCATGGCTGTTACACAGCCAACAGTTGGAATCCCTTCCGTATAATCACTGCCCAGTAGATAAGCCAAGTTGATTAATTTGTTCCGGTCCAATCCTGTATAAATAGCAAAACAGATGAGATAGAGAGAGATAGAGATAGAGAGAGATAGAGATAGAGATAGAGACAGAGATGAGAGAGAGAGAGAGAGAGAGAGAGAGAGAGAGAGATCTCACACACACATACACACACAGCATCTTTGTCTTCCACTAGAGAAAGATATTTCATTCTCAGTTATTTCCCCATTGTCAAGAATGACTGGCATATGAGAGTCATTCTGTGTGCATTTCCCAGGTGAATGTACGGATGAGGTGAATGATAATGGATGTGAATGTCAGGAACATTCACTGTGGCAGAAGTCACAGTGGCTCCATTCCCCACACTATGAGACCATCTCTGGTTCACTGTTAGGTAAGTATTCAACTAACCTTGTCAGGTGATTTAACTGCAAGAAAGATGCTAGGATTTTAATTTCTTAAATCGCAGTTTTTAATACCCTATAGCCTCCCATTTCCATTCACTCATCAAATGAGTTCCTTGAGAAGAAAAACCACATGAGGCAAATCAGGAGAGTGAATGTGTGGAACTGTGGGAAATGACCACACTCTAACTCTTACCTAATTGGCTATAAAAGTCCACATATTGATAGTATTCTATAAACTTGTTTTTGTTAAAAAAGTTCTTATAGACATGCCGGGCCCCAAACAGCCAGATATCACTATCATCAGTAATGGTTCCAGAAGTCTGATCAGTGAGGTCCAGAATGGCACACTGTGCTTCCGCCTCCATGGGAGCCTGGATGTAGGGAATGCCAAACAGGCGCAGGAGCTCCTGTAGTAAGAGAACAAGCAGGGAAATGTACCGTGGGCCTTGACCACAAGAGGGTGTGACAGTTTTACACAGCCCTTCTGAGAGGAAGGACAAGTCTAAGGAAGATCAAGCTAAAGTCACACTTACCTGGCTTTCTAGAAACATCTGGCCTGTTACAGAGGCAGCAATCCGATCTTGCTGCTGTTTTTGAGCTTTCAGTGAATTCTGTTCTGCTAAGAGGTTACTCTCCAGGGCATCCAGTTCCTCCTAAAACATGTTCCCAGCCATAGAAAATTACAGTCATGATCCAATTATGTTCATTTGTTATAATAAAGCATGCATTTCCTCTGGCTGAAATGACCAATAAGCCATTTCTCCTTACAGTGTTTTCCACTTGGGATTTCCAGGCAATACTGTCCCTTTCAGTGAGTGGCCTCATTACATCATATTGAAACCTAACTAAAAACCCCAGGTGTAACTTACATTTTAAAAGGGAGCTATGAGTAACAATAAGATGAATTAAAAACAGCTAGTGAATATTTATCTAGCAACTTTTAAAATCTCAAAAGCCATAGGCTTGGCTTCCTCAGCACTAAGTTAAAATGTGGTGTTACCAAATTAACATTTTGCCATTCGTTGGGTGAGTCATCAGCATCGCTGACAGCTTCTCTGTGTCCTTCCATTGCCTCAATGTCAGAGCTGTCCTGTAGGAGGCACTCTGTGTCCTGGGGGGTTCCTTCCTCCAGAGTTTCTCTTGGTTCCTCTGCATCTTTTTCAGAGAGATGTTTAGAAGCCTCTGATGACTCTGTCTGAAGTTCACCACTGCTGACCACACTCTGCACTTCAATGAAACTTCCTGTCCCAAAAAAAAAAAAAAAAAAAACCAAAACCCCACTTCATGTCACTTCATCTAAAATGAGAACATAAGAGTCGCTATGAAGTCATCAAAGCTTTCTGAACAGTCCTGAAAAATTCCAAACTCCAAAAGAAATGATTTAAACATAACCATAAACATGCAACTCACTAGTTTGCTATAATGCACCACAAATGCCTATCTACCGTTTCCAACCAAGCTTTTACAATTAGACAAATTGATCTATTAGGCTTTTGGTCACTAAAAGTAGGAACCAAATTCTCAAAGATTTGCATATTAACTTTTAAAAGCTATGTTCTGTTGACTAATGCTATTTTTAAAACTCAGAGGGAAGGCCATGGAAGCAGATAGGCTGACAGTGGGTCTTCACCTCTCCATTTTCTCCTCCAGTCCCAATTCCTTCAATCTCATCCACAATTCTGTAGCAAAACATCTGATGCTGTCTCACTTTTCTCTCTGACCCCATCCCAGATGGATCCCAAAGATCTTCAACTTTCTTTGTCTCCACTCAACCCAGTATCCCAGTCTCTAACTGGCATTCTCTATGAGCACACCAGCTGAGCAGGCCAGGAAAAACAGGTAAGCTAACTGAAAACCTTCACCACTCTGTCCTTTCCTCCACACCCAATTCCCCAGTCTCATTCCTCTCTGTGCAACAGAACACCTTCTGTAGTCTTGCTTACCCCTCTGCGCAATCTCCTGTGGATCCCACAACTTCCATCTCCTAACTCCCTCTACATAATTGTTACTTTATCCCAGCTCCAATTCCAGCAGGCACTCCTTGCTAACCCACAGACCACTCCTGCCAGAGAAGCAAGTAAACTGTCTGTAGATCTTTCCTTCTCTTACTGTTCCTTTAAACTCAAGCCCCAAGTCTCATCCTCAGTGCTATAGCAGACCCTCTGAAATGACCTCTCTTCACTGTATCCCTCATTCCAAGTAGATAAAATAAGCAGATCCTGGTTGAACACTATCTTCTTCTCTCTACTGTGAACCCCTTCAGACCCCTAGGCTAGCCTCATTCTTAGATGATATTAGCTCGTAATCTACAGAAACACAAAATACTTGGAATCCCCAGTGGCTACAACTATCAGCTCCCCCTCCCCCAAAAAATCCTACCAGTTAACACACAGCCATGACACTCCAAAAATCAGACAGGAAACAAAAAACAAAAAACAAATCACCTACCCAACCAAGACAAATCCAGAAATCAGTACTATGACATATAATCATATCAATGCCAGATTCTGGATGCCAACATAACAACACAATTAGTAGCAGCCAAGGCAAAAGAAGACCAAGTAACTTGCCTACACATCTTCTCTGCTCTCTCTCTCTGTTCCTTCAGAGCCAAAACACTAGTTGTAGCCTGCCTTCCCTCCTGCCCATATCGCCCATGGATCCCACAGACCATCCCCTCCTGGCCTCCCTCCTGCCACTCATAGTTTGTATTTCAGTCCCCAACTTAGGTGGACTCCCCCTGCTCAACCATGCCTTTCAGAAAAGCCAGTAGAGGTTCTCAGCTTTCTCTGTTACCCCAGATTCAATCCCTCAGGCTTGCCCCTTCTAGTGCTATAATAGAGAATGGGAAAAGCATCAATTTAAAAAAAAACAAAAAACAAAAAAACACCAAACTGAGGGAATTCTGGAAATGAAAGCTTTAGGAATGCAAACAGCTATAGCCTCCTTCCCTCACCAACATCCACACACATTCATCTCCTGTGGATCCCACACATCCCCTACTAAACTCACTCCCCCTACTTTTCACACTATTCCAGCCCCTAACTCAAGCAGACACAGGCATTCCCTGTGAACATACAAAGGAAGTAGGCCAGCAAAACAGGCAATACACAGCCATCACACTTTAAATACACAGAGAAAACAAAAACCAGTAACAAAACACACACCCAACAAAGACAAACCCAGAAATTAGCACCTAGACCTATTATCACCCAAACCCACCTGCTTAGATAACAGCATAGGAATACAGTCAATAAAAACAAGGACAATATGCTTCCACTAAAACCTAGCTGCTTGCTACAGCAGGCCATGAATATTCATTCCAACAGAGTTAAGCACAACTATACAAAGATTCCAACAGAGTTAAGCACAACTATACAAACTATACAGAGTTAAAACCAACTATACAAAGATTATAAAAGTCCTTAAAGAGGAAATGAATAAATACCTTTAAAAAATCCAGGAAAACACAAACAATTGGAGGAAATGAATAAATCCCTGAAAGAGAAACAGGAAAACACAAACAACTGGAGGAAATGAATAAATCCCTAAAAGAAACCCAGGAAAACACAAAACAGTATTAGGAAATTAACAATTCCCTTAAAGAAAGCCAAGAAAAACCAAACACACGACTGAAGGAAAGGAAGACAACTGTTCAAGACCTGAAAATGGAAAGGGAATGAATAAAGAAAATTCAAACTGAGATTGTTCTGGAAATAAAAAAAATTAGGAATGTAAACAAGAACTACAGAGACAAGCTCCAGAAACAAAATAAGACATGGAAAAAAGATACAATACCAAATAAATAGATAAATAAATAAATAAATAAATAAAGGATACATAAAAGCTCTTAATAGAAAATATCCAAGAAATCCGAGACACTATGAAAAGACCAAACCTGCGGTTTTTACCTGTGCCCTGGAGCAGAGTCTGTGTTCCTATCCACCCCCAACCCACCCATACACAGAGACAGCTTGACCTCCAGGCGTTCTGTAACACAGGATCAGAGGTTAGGCCCGAACCACCACCCCAACATGAGGCCTAACTCAGACACCCCAGGGCCCAGTGGACACAGGAACTCTCGCCCAGCTGGAGACACACATTCCTCCCAGTTCATGCCAGCACCCAGAGTGGACCTTGTGTTGTGATCCAGCCCTGACCCTAAGAAGCTCTGACACAGCAAAGCTCACAGAACAGGCTCTCCAGAACCCCTGCCATACCTAGAAACAATCTGACCCAAGGAGGATCAACAGAACCAGGCTCACAGGAGGAACAGGCTCTCCAGTCAGAGACAAAAAGGCCAGTTAACAGGAGAGATAACCAGATGGTTAAGAGGCAACCAAAAAAACATAAGCAACAGAAACCAATGCTACTTGGCAACATCAAAACCCAGTTCTCCCACTAGAGCAGCACTGGATACACCAACACACCTGAAAAGCAAGTGGGAGAACTTGAAAAGGAAGGGGGCAGGGGGAGCAGATAGGGGGTTTATGGAGGAGAAACTGGGAAGGGCAATAATATTTGAAATGTCAATAAATAAAATAACCAATAAAAAATAGACAAAGCTATGTGACACGGGGGGGGGGCTCATATACTCACAAACCTGCCAACACCTCTGTGTTGTAGTTATTTCAAGGGTAGTTTTGTTTTATTTACGCAAATGAGAATCATTTCATCTTCCTTTTAAAGTGTTGCCTTGAATATTGTTTTCATGGCATAAGTGTCTTAGTGTCCTATCATATGGGGAATTATTTATCATACTATATTCCAGTCCTTTCCAGAAGGATGACGACATACTTACTTATTTTCCTGTAACATGCATGTACTATGTTTTATTACCTGTCTAAAAAAATGTTCATTAAAATATTTGAACCATAAGAAGAAAGAAAAAAAGAAAGAAAGAAAGAAAGAAAGAAAGAAAGAAAGAAAGAGAGAAAGAAAAGGCCAAATCTATGTATAACAGGAAAAGAAGAGAAATCCTGGCTCAAAGGCCCAGAAAATTGTTTCAACAAAATAATAGAAGAAAAATTTCCTAACCTAAAGAAGGAAATGCCTATAAAAGTAGAAAAAGCATACAAAACACCCAATAGACCGGAACAAAAAATTAAGTCCCCCTGCCACATAATAAGCAAAGTACTCAACATACACATCAAAGAAAAAATATTAAAAGATATATGGAAAAGACCAAGTAACAGATCAAGATAGACCTATTAGAATTACCTAACTTCTTACTGGAGACTCTAAAACCTAGGAGAGCCTGAACATTATGTGCTACAGATGCTAAGAGACCATATATGACAGCTCAGATAGCTTAGACAACTCATACCCTGAAAAACTTTCAATCGCCATAGATGGTGCAAATAAAATATTTCATAATAAAGTCAAATTTAAACAATATCCAGCCTTAATGGGAGTACTAGAAGGAAAACTTCAACTTAAGGAGGTTAAGTTTTCAACCTCAAATGTTGTTTTCAACTTGGATGTTGAAACCTTCTGCTCTACACCTCATGGAACTCTCTCCAAAATTAACCATGTAGTTGGACACTAAGCAAGTATCAGTAAAAACAAGAAAATAGAAGTAACTCCCTTCATCCAATCAGACTACCATATATTAAAAGAGGATGTTAACAAAAGAAACAACACAAAGCTTACAAACTCATAGAAACAGAACAACTCTCTACCAAATGAAAAATGGGTCAAGACACCAATAAAGATAAAAATTAAAGATTTTCTAGGATTCATTGAAAATGAATAAATACCATACCCATATTTATGGGACACAATGAAAGCAGTGCTAAGAGGAAAATTCATAGTACTAAGTGCCTACATTAAAAAAAAAAGATCTAAAACAAAAAGAAGAAATCATACCCATAAGGAGTAGATGGCAAAAATAAATAAAAATAAGTAAGTAAATAAATAAATAAATAAAACTGAAATCAGTAAAACAAAAAAAGAGAATAATACAAAGAATCAATGATCAAAGAATAAGAGTTGATTCTTTGAGAAAATCAACAAGATAGACAAACCTTTACCCAAACTAACTAAAAGGCAGGGAAAGAATATCCAAAATAACAAGATCAGAAATGAAGATGGGTACATGTAGAATTTAATATTTAAAATCTCAAGCCTGGAGCTGCTACCCTGCCTTTGGTTATTGAGTTCCTGGATGACAGAGGCACTCATAATCTTTATATGTACAATAAGCCTTAATCAGCACAATAGCTTGGCCGCTGTCTACCATCCGTGCTGTTAGAATCTACTTTCCTATTGATAACCCCAAATTACTACTTACTATGTTTAATCTGGGCTGTTCTTAACTCCAATTAGTCAGCCCACACGGTTCAGCTTTCAAAGAGGAGTTAACACCAATCATCCTCAAAATAGACACAGAAGAAACACTGCCCAATTCATTTTATGAGGCCATAGTTACCATGATACCCAAACCACATAAAGACTCAAAAATGAATTACAGACCAATTTTCCTTATGAACATAGATACAAAAATACTAAACAAAATACTCTAACAACTGAATTCAAGAACATATCATAAAAATTGTCCACCACCATCAGGTATGTGTCATTCCAGCAATGTAGGAATGGTTCGAAGCATAAAAATCAGTAAATGTAATTATAAATAAACTGAAAGGGAAAAAAATGATCATCTCATTAGATGCAGAAAAAAGCCTTTGACAAAATTCAACACCCATTAATGATAAAAGTCCTGAGTGATAAGGGATACATAAAAAAGGCAGTTTACAGCAAGCCAATAGCCAACATCAAATGGAGAAAAAAATCAAAGTAATTTCACTAAAATCACCAACAAGACAAGAATATCCTCTCTCTCCATATGTTTCTTCTCTTCAGCAGAGAGGACTACCAAGGACTGCTAACCTGAGTTTTAGTAGAAAGTCAGAACATAAGAGAGGCTGGAGACAAGGAGGAACTAAAAAGATGAGAAACTCGAGAATAAACACCTAGGATGTTAAGACAGCATAAAGATGGATGGGTACAGAAATAAATGCAGCTGTGAATGTGCATATGTACATGGTGTGGGTGGGGGAGAGAAGGAGGGAGGGAGAGGATGAGGGAGAGAGGGAAGGAGGGAATAAAGGAGGGAGGGGGAAAAAGAGAGAGAAAGAGAGAAAGAGAGAGAACGAGCACAAGAAGGAGCATGTTTGTTTCATGGTTGCTAATGAGGGAAACAGAAAGTTCACCCAGAAGCCAGTGCCTGACTTGTAATCTCCACTAAGAGTCAGGGCTCCGTGATGAAATCCAGGGCTACAGCAAAAGTCAATATAAGAAAAGCCTGAACACCCTGCTTATAAGTACAGAAATCATCAAAGACACTTAGGAACTGGCAAAAGCCACAAGAGCTTGCTTGAAGGACAACTCACCCCCAGCCAAAGCATGGACACTTTGAGCAAGTAAGTTATAGTGTTAAACTGTAACTGAATACAGCAATCCATGACAATAACAACAACAAATGGGAGAAGGGTCTTCCCTACAGTAGGATACAACTAATCAATGCCTAAGGAAGGGTGAGGTTGGCCAACACCACCTGGCAACCATCACAGTAGCTCTCTACTCAGAGACCAACCAAGGATGCTGAAACAAGTCACTGGAAGTTCTCTTGAGTGCAGCATATTCTCCCAGGCCCAAAATTCCTTTCCATGAAACACTGAGAAAGGGAAAAGGCACAAACGTGAAAATCAAGCCAGGCATGGTAGTTCAGACCTATAATCCTGGCACTCAGCTGGTAGAGGCCGAAGGGTCAGGAGTCCAAGACAAGTCTCAGCTGCATAGCAAGTATGAGGCCAGCCAAGGTTACATGAGTCTCAAATAAATAGCCCAGATAGATAGATAGATAGATGATAATAGATAGATAGATAGATAGATAGATAGATAGATAGATACATAGATAGATAGATAGAAAACTCTGACCAATCACAGTACATAAATTATATATAAACATATGCATACAGTTATCTTCATTACTTAAAGTATGGTCTATAAAGTCATTTCAAATACTAAATTAGCAAATACATGTTTCATATACAAATATATAAATATATGTACAAATGTGTTTATGTGTGTACGTTTATGTGTGTATACTTATGTGTATACACTCTTTCATTATGGAATGAGGTTCAGAATGTTATGTGACTTGCCTGAGAGTACCACAGCAGGGCAGCAGAATGGGGATGTTCCACATCTGGAGACTCCTGCTCAAGACTCCACTATCCTACCAATGGTCTTTTGGCAGTCTCTATGAGTATACTGAAACCAGTAGAGAAACTAGACAAATGCCCATAAAGAAAACAAAGCTCCTTTGATTCTGGAGCCAAATGTTAGCGAGTAGGAGACTGCACAAACAAATAAACTATAAAGAATGAGTATCACTGGCATGTGTGTACACAAACAGAGAGGAGAGAGATACAGGGAGAAAATGAATAGGGGAGACAGAGACAAAGATATGAAGAGGAAGATGTGAGAGAGAGAAAGAGGCAAAGGGAGTGGGGAGGCAGGGGGGGGGAGAGAGAGAGAGAGAGACAGAGAGAGACAGAGAGAGACAGAGAGAGACAGAGAGAGAGACACAGAGAGAGAGAGACAGAATATAAAACAAACAGGGCAAAATACTGACCTGTAAGTTAGGTATGAATCAGTTAGTATTCTTTTTAATTTTTATAATTATGTCATAGCAAAAAGTTAACAAAAGCTAAAGGAAAGTCAGCTTTCTTTTCTCCAAGCATGGTACTCCCTTCCTTTAAGAATACCAAGGACAAGCCGGGCGTTGGTGGCGCACGCCTTTAATCCCAGCACTTGGGAGGCAGAGGCAGGCGGATTTCTGAGTTCGAGGCCAGCCTGGTCTACAGAGTGAGTTCCAGGACAGCCAGGGCTATACAGAGAAACCCTGTCTCGAAAAACACCAAAAAAAAAAAAAAAAAAAAAAAAAGAATACCAAGGACAGAGGCTGACAATATGGCTCAGCACATAAAAATGTTTGCTGCTCTTGCAGAGGCCCTGTGTTTGGTCACAGTGCCCACAGCACAATTCACAATCATGTGTTAATACCAGTTCCAGAAGATCTGATGCCCTCTTCTGGCCTCCATGGGCACTACATACATATGTGCACAGATACACATGCACATGAAATATCCATACATGTAAAATAAAATAAAATCTTAAAATCCAAAGGATAGCCCAGCAAAGCAGGGCACTCCCATCCTGGATGTGAGTCCCTAGAAAGCTCATTTATCCTTTCTTCCTGGTTACTTGACTGTAAAGCACAACAGGGCTACACTTTAGAGTCCCCCAGTCCTTATAGACATGAAGTTCTCATCCCATCCCCTTAAAGGAACACCTACCATCAGACTCGCTTTCTTCAGACTCCGATTCCATTGATCCTGTGAGCTTTGGGGCTGAAATCAGCTCCGTGGCAGCAGCCTCAGGCATCTCCCATAGCTGGATGGTTTTTTGGAAATCTCCATGTTTTTCAGCATTAGAAGACAACACATTTTCTAAGTTACCCATTGCCTCTGAAGGGACATGAACTGTACTACATGCTTTGGAAGCAGGATTTTGTCCACCTTCTGTTTCATCTTCACTTGAAAGACGAGAGGAATTACTCTTGCTCTCGGGTGGGTAGAGTCTACTTTGTAACTTAGGCTCTTCAGGGTGTATTTCTACCCTCTGATCAGAATGTGTTCTTATCGGACGTGCCAGGATCAGTTCCACTTCACTGAGGACCCCAGCGGCATAAGTGCATGGAAGGGCAGTTGGCCTACCCTCGCCCTCACCTCCACTACTTATCTGAGATGCTTCATCCACCACATGAACAAGAGACATTGCTTCTTTTGGAGTATCATATTGACAACAAGCAATACTAAATGCATGAGCTGAGGCTGTCTGTTCTTTTTCAGTGCTGGCACCAGTTACACACTCCTCTACTTCAGTCACACTGGGTAAAAGAGGTGCTGTGTCAAATGGCATGCCTCCACCTCTTTCTTCCATTTCATCAACATGCTCCCGGTCCAAACCTTTTCCAAGAAGCACTTTCATTGCTAGATTACCACTGGTGGCACACACTTTCTCATCTTTATCATCATCCAGAGCTTTCTGAATAGCTGCACTGGTCTGTGGTGACATGGTGCCTGCATCTGCAGTGGCCCATGAGGTCCTCTCCTTAGACTGCCTTCCCTCTCCACTCTCCAGCTCCTCTTCTGAGCTACTTCCCAGCATGGCTGCCTGAATAGCCAGTAAAGTTCTTGGAGAAGGAGGTGTGGCCTCTGGCTCATTTTTTGGCTTCACTTTCTCATGAGGCGATGACTTCAGGTTGAAAGACATACTGTGTACTTTGCTGTAAGAAGGAGGAGATTCTGAATCCACATCCATGACTTTCTTACCTTGAATACCTGAGAAAAAGCACAACATTTCTCACTATGAAATTCACAGTATGACAGCATATTTCTGGGAAAATGAACAAGAGAATCCTGGACTGTCGTGACCCATTCTGCCCTACAATTGGGGGCCACTAAGTCCCAGGCCATTCTGGTCAGTCAACTGGGTCTAGCAAAAGAAAGAGTGGGGATGGCACAGCAAGAGACAAGAAGAATGGAGACAAGACAGGGAGTCTGGTCAAGTCCCCTTTATTGAAAGGAAACCCTGGGTGTATATAAGCAGGGGAATGCAGCTGAAGACACTTTACCACCTGTGCCTTGCACTGGGGGCATTAAACAACAAGATATGTGAGAAAAACAAGATGTTTATCAGAGTGTACTCAGCTGTTGTGGGCTATTGAAAAGAAGTCTCTTGTCAGGGTATATGGCTTGAGATGGCTGCAAAGATGGTAGCCGCTTTCTGCTAGGAGTCGGCTCCCAACACTGGACGTAAATAGAGTGATACATTTTTATTAAAATCCACTCACTAATTCTAAAGTGGTTGGCTCTGTAGTAACTAATCCATTAGTGGCTAAGTACAACCGTTATTACCTAAGCAAGATTCCATGGGCTTTAACATGGCAGTCTTTTCATAGAACTTAGAGCCACAAAGTACCTTAGGTTTTATTTTTTAAGTTGAAATTTTATTTTACCACACTACATAGACAAAAATGAGACAAAATATTTTTAAATATTTGATAAAACATAATTCCAACTTCCTGTCTGGGCCTGAGCACTGAGCAGATCCCAGGCGGCAGCTCTCCACCCAATCTCACAAAACCCAGAAGAAGCAGGCCTCCCAGGAGCTCTAACCTGGGCAGTATCTTAGGTAAGGAGACAGCAACGCCTGCCCCAAACACAGAGTAACTGGAACACACTGGGACCCAGGAATTCACTCCTGGCCCAGAGCACTGGTTCCTTCCAGTCTGCACCTGAGGACTGAACAGATCTTGGGCCCCAGCTCTAATCCCAGTAGTAACACCCACCCACACAGTTCTGAAACAACCAAGATAATAGGAAAGACAGGCTCCAGTCAGAGACAGGGCAGGTAGCACTAAGGTGATCCAGATGGCAAAAGGCAAGTGCAAGAACATAAGCATCAGCAACCCCGGGTACCTGGCATCATTAGAACCTAGTTCCCCCACACTAGAAAGTCCTGAATTCCCCATATCACCAGGAAAGCAGGATTCAGATTTAAAATCACTTCTAATGATGATGATAAAGGACTTTAAGAAAGACATAAATAACACTCACAAAGAATTTGAGGACAACACAGGTAAACAGGTAGAACCCCTTAAAGAGGAAACACAAAATACTTTAAAGAATTACAAGAGAACACAATCAAACAGGTGAAGGAATTCAACAAAACCATCCCGGACATAAAAATGGAAGCAGAAACAATAAAGAAATCACAAAGGGAGACTACGCTGGAGATAGAAAACCTAGGAAAAAATCAGGTGTCATAGATGCAAGCATCACCAACAGAGTACAAGAGATTGAAGAGAAAATCTCAGGTGCAGAAGATACCATAGAAAATATTGACACAACTGTCAAAGAAAACGCAAAATGCAAAAAGATCTTAACACAAAACATCCAGGAGATCCAGGACACAATGAGAAGACCAAACCTAAGGATAATAGGTATAGATGAGAGTGAAGATTCCCAACTTAAAGGGCCAATAAATATCTTCAACAAAATTATAGAAGAAAACTTCCCTAACCTAAAGAACGAGATGCCCATAAACATACAAGAAGCCTACAGAACGCCAAATAGACTACACTAGAAAAGAAATACCTCCCATCACATAATAATCAAAACACCAAATGCACAAAACAAAAAAAGAATATTAAATGCAATAAGGGGAAAAGGCCAAGTAATATATAAAGGCAGACCTCTCAGAATTACACCAGACTTTTCACCAGATACTATAAAAGCAAGAAGATCCTGGACAGATGTCATACAGACCCTAAGAGACTACAAATGCCAGCCCAGGATACTATACCCAACAAAACTCTCAATTACCATAGATGGAGAAACCAAGATATTCCATGACAAATCCAAATTTACACAATATCTTTCCACAAATCCAGCATTACAAAGGATAATAGCAGAAAAGCCCCAATACAAGGAGGGAAATTAGAACCTAGAAAGAACAAGAAAGTAACCCTCTTCCAACAAATCCAAAAGAAGATAGCCACAAAAAAATAATTGTACCTCTAATAACAAAAATAACAGGAAGCAACAATCACTGTACCTTAATATCTCTTAACATCAATGGACTCAATTCCCCAATAAAAAGACATAGGATAACAGACTGGATATGTAAACAGGACCCAGCATTTTGCTGCATACAGGAAACCCACCTCAGTGACAAACACAGACACGACCTTGGAATAAAAGCCTGGAAAACAATTTTTCAAGCAAATGGTCCTAAGAAACAAGCTGAAGTAGCCATTCTAAAACCTCCAGCCTGAGAACACAAAGGGAGGGACTCATGACTCCACCTGTATAGGTAGTTGAGGGTGGCCTTGTCAGGCATCAGTGGAAGTGGAGGGCCTTGGTACCTGAAAGTTTGGATTCCCTAGTGTTGGAGAATTTGAGAGCAGGGAGGTGGGAGTGGGAGGATGGTGGGAGCACACCCTCATAGAAACTCCCAGAGTTATATGGATTAGACATGACAGAGGCAGGCCACCAGGAGACTAGATTCCAGAATTCAAACAAAAGATTATCTTGATACTAAAATTTGTTTTGAGAATTGTATATTGCAGAATACACAGCCTTGGTGTATCTACTCATCAAGCAAGCTGAGCAGACCTGCTCAAACCTCTGATGTCCTGGAATTTCAGCTGGATGCAGTGAAGACACAGAGGCTTATCAATTTACTACCCTCCTGGCCCCCACCCCCCGAGCCAGCCTCTCTTCTAATATCGCAATGCCCATAGTCAGCTTGAAGAAGTTAATGAAGAGCCGGCACCCCTATTCCCTGGGCTTGGGGACTGAGGTGGTTAATATTGGGCTGTCTTGCTGGGAAAAGTAGTGGTTTTGTTGGAACAGGGAGGAATACCTAGGATTTATTGCACAGCCATAACTTATTGGTAGAAATCCGTTTAATTGTTATTAAGCTGAAGTTATAATCTCTTAAATGGTACAAAATTTACTTTGATTTCAAATTTAAGGTTTCACTGGTACGAGTTTCTTATTAATATAAAAGTGAGATTAATATTGTAACACTCATAGGCATTGTGTCTATATAACACATTTAGGAATACAAGGCTTAGACCAAGTCTTTCTTTAACTTTTTTAACTGATTTGAGATGGTTAGCATGTGAATTAAGGGCCTATAGCAAATTCATGGCTCTGAGTTTATTGTGAGGGTGTTTTCTATATTTTATTTAGAAATAGCTGAGAGGAGTTAACAGACAGCAGTCCAATTGCCTTATGTGGATAGTTGGTTTTCAAAACGTTGAAGTCCACAGAATTTTCATTACAAACATTTCTGTATTAATGTTCATTTTGATTAGAGACCTGTCTGCTCCTGACAGCTTCCCTGTCTTGGATTCTAAGAAGAAATTGAGCATCTTTGGAGTTACTCCAGTTGTGGTGAGACAGCCACTAGGCAAGAATTGCCTCTTTTCATCTACAGACAAATTATTGTCCAGAAAAGGACACACTTGCGGAATAGTTGACTGATTATATCTGATAAGACAGAGTAATCAGCTCTTAATAATTCTGCATCACTAGGTCTGTCAGATGATCCTGGGCCAGAAGGCTGAAGATCGGATGCTCCAATGTTTTGTAGTATAGGGACAGTCCAGGTGCTCAGCGGTCTCTATAAATTGGCTAAGGTTTAGAAGCTATGCTTTGTGCTTCCCATAATTTCAGTTAATTCAGTCATTCTGGATTTCTGACTGGTTTGAAGACTTATAGTCTCATAGCCAACCCCAGCTATTTACTTTGAGAGAAAAGATTTGAGAGGATGGTTTTCAGCTGACATTCAGTCTAAAGCCAAGAAAAAACTCAGGTTCAGAACTAAGTCTTTTAGTTAGGAGAGATGACAGAGGTTCTGTTTAGT